CCGGCCGGCGCAGAAGGGCAGCTGCTGGGCGGCGGGGCTGGGGCCGTGGCTGGCAGGGCAAGAAGCCTTCGCACAATTGAGCTTTTCCTTTGCCCGGGGACCGGCCACCGCCGCTTCCCCGCCGGGTTTCCCTCCCTCTTCCCCACACGTCCTTCGGTTGCCTGTGGTCGGGCGGTTCTTTTGGAGGAGGGGACGGATGGATCGGTGACCACACCACCCTCCGCCTTTCCCTGTAAGCGTCACGCTCTCTGACCGGGGACTGTTGGATGCAGAAGACAAGGGAGGTCCGGAAGTACCCAGCACATACTAGATGCTCAGTAAAGCAAGTGGCTTTCCCTCACCTTCCAGACCCTTCCACTGCCCCTGCTTCTTCCAGGGAAGTAGAAGGAAGGGAAGAGTAGGAAGGGGAAGGAGAGAGGAGAGGAGAGAGGAAACGAGAAGACCTTAGGATAGTGTGTGGGCCAGAACCCAGTGCGACCTGTCTGGAGTACATGGGTCTCAGCCCTGCCTCCTCACCTGGGGACTGCTGCAAAAGGACAGAAGGAAATCAGCGGCCTGTGCTCCTGGAGTAGACCTTGAGCTATGTGGGAAAATGGAGTCACTGCCCAAAGACCCAGCAGATTGGATCAGACACTTCCCCGGCTGCAGCCAACACGTGAGGACTGATTTCCTTACAGGGTATTATGGTTGGAGGTTGGGGGGTCGAGGGAAAGCAAAACGTTTCCTCCCAGGGAGATCTCTGCGCTCTTTTCCAGCCAGATCAGCCAGCTGAGCGGGAGCTGCCAGGATTAAAATCCCTGAGCCCCGCCTGGTCCGCAAGTCTGTCTATACAGTGGACGAGCATAAGGGAGAGAAGACCTTCCCAATTGATTAGAAAAAAAAGGTGTTTTTTGGTATGCTTTTTTCCCATGAAGAGAATGAACTGTCGGATTGTTGTTTGCTTCCTTTTTGTTCTTTTGAGACCAGATCTCGCTGTGTGGTTCGGGCTGGCCTTGAACTCCTGGTGATCCTCCTGCCTCAGCCCCCCCAAAGTGCTGAGATTACAGATGTGCGCTGGCTAAGCTGTCTTTTAGTGGGGAGGGGGGACTGCAGAGTGATCCCTGAGACAAGCCCCTTCCCTGTATGTAACTGATAAAAGTGGGAGCTCTTAACGGAGACTGCCTGGGCCTAGTGTTTATAAGTCACAGGTACTTGAACAAATTCTTCAACTTCTGACTGCCTTGGTTTCTTCATCTGTAAAAAGAGATAGTAATATTGTAAGGTCACTGGGAGAGTTAAATGAAGTAGTATAGGCAACACTTAATACAGTGCCTGGCATATACTCAATAAATGTTAGCTGCTACTTTGATCTCTGAGAACCCCGTTTCCAATTTGGCATTTAATGATGTGCTAACGGGAATCCTTTCTTGCTTTTCAAAGTCCTCTCAGCCTGCATAGAGTAGCCTGGTGCTTTAAGAAGAAGCTCTGTCCTTTCTTGAGGGCTCAGAAGATGGAGCTGGCTGAGCTTCTTGGCCACCCTAGGCCCAGGGACAAAGGGCTATACAGTAGGCATGCAAATGGACACCAGAGACCGAACTGGCCCCTGACTTATTGTGAGGCTAGAGGCCTGGCACCCATCCATCCACACTGGTAATGATACAGGCATAGTGCTGTTCTCTGGGTGCCACCCAGAATGGAAAAGGCCACATGTCCTAAGGGTGAAGTCTCTTCCATATGTATATGGGGTTGATATTTCTCTCCCATGTAAGGGTGGCTGGTCGCACAAGCCTTCCCGACTCTGCTCCTAAGGTCCCAATCACAGCCCTGCAACAGTGAGCTTGGACTTGTGAGCAGCTATAAGAGAAGGCAGATGGGTTGGGGAGGGAAGGAAAGAGGGGGTCAGTCTGGTTGTGGTGTCAGAGGACACAAAGGCTCCAGAGATAGGGTAAAACCCTGGCAGAGAGGAGAAGCCAGAACTATGGACAGAAACAGGTTCCCTGCCAAATGTCTACCTTGTGAGTGGTTTTTGTCTGAACACAGGGATGACTCAGTTGTTCTGGAACAAGCAAATGGATTTTCCTTAAATATGAAAATCAATAAGAGGTAAAGGCAAGGCCTGGGCTCTGGGGATGGAAGGTGGAATGAGCCGGAAGGGGCCTGTAGAGTGAAACAGTTGGTGAGCGATAGGAGAAAGATTCAGGCTCCATACAAGGGACCCTTGGTGTGGTCACCAAGCCCCACCTCCACTGAGAAGGTGGCTTCCAGACCTGTGGATCTCACTGTGGCACCCTGAAACCCGACAGCTTCCCTGCTCCCCAGCCCATCCCACCAATCCTGCTTCCAGGCAGGAGATTGCTAACAAGAAGGTTAATGTCCATGTGACAAATAGGTTTTAAAAGATCAGCCCAGACGCCTGTAGTCACCGCTATGACGATGTAGACCTGGCCTGAGATCGGATGAGAGCTTTGGGAGCCCCAGAAAGCACAGCAAACACTTTTTTAGCTGCAGCCTGGTTTCTTTGGGGACTCTGCCTATTTTCCTGCCACCTTGAGCTCTGTGGATTAATGCTAATTTGTTTCACAGCTGGGGTTGTCTGACTGGGACGTTGGGGGTCTGAACAGAATTAAAGCTCCTATATTCCATGGAACCCTCTTGACTTGGCCAGGCCTTGCAGAGCAGTTTGTAAGGCACTTTGCAGGAATAGGAAGACAGTGCATTTCTTTATTTTCTTGAGCATGTTATAAACGTCATTAGCACTCCTGAGGTGGAGTCAGAGGAGCTTCTGACTTTTCTCCTGTGAAGCCAGTGGAAAAACACTGGGTCAGGATGCAGAGAGCCTCACTCTGAGCCTTGCTTGTGCCACCTGCTGAAGTGCATCACCCCTGTTTGCTCATTGGTAAAAGGGGTGTTGACACCCAGGGGCAGCCAAGGCTGTAGTGAGTATTTAGTGAGATAATGGAATATAAAATGGTTCACATCACGTGACGCCAGTCTAAGCAGATCCAGTGATCACGCAGAAATCATCAGCCCCACCCCACTACCCACCCTAGGCCGCTTTGTCCTGGTTGTGGGCTGAGTTCATGAAAGCCCATCTCTGAGCAACACACATTTGTCCACCTGTAACCCTTGTCCTCTCTGATTCATTAGCCAGGCAGGGGCTGCTGGCACCATGGGGTGGGGCAGGGCATCAAGGCTGGGGGCGTGTTGAGGCTTTAAGAAGGGCTCCCTGGTGATTGCTCCAGCTTACAAGGACCCAGGAGAAGTAGTCCTTTGGGAGAAGCTGGCACAGTAACGAATGCTTTCCGAGAGCAGCGAGTCACTGCCTTATCGGGAAGATGCCGTTTCTCCCCAGCTCTGTTACCAGGAAGTGAGATGAGCTGAGAGCCAGAGCAGTGTTTTTCCAAAGATGGCCTTTGAAGAGGAGTGTTTCTTTACGGGACCAGGAGAGTGGCAACGGTATTGGCAGGGAGAAGTGGGCCACTTTAAGAAGCCTGGCTCAGACTGTGCAAGCCTGGGGAACACCAGGAAGGTCCATATTTATATAGTACTTGTCATGCGCCTGCAGCTATTCTAAGCACTTAACCTATATTAACCTACTTATTCTCACAGCAGGCCTGTGTCATAGGCATCGATTTTTTTCTTTTTGTTAAACTTTAAAAACCTTTTTTTTTTTAATCCTAATTTTTTTAAAGACCTGGGTCTCACTAAGGTTGCCCAGGCTGGCCTCACTCCTGGTTTCAAGCCATCCTCCTATCTCAGCCTCCTGAGTAGCTGGTCCTACAAAATGTGCACCATTTCACCTAGCCATAGAAAAACGTTTTTGTCTCCATTTCATAGATTAGGAAGTTGAGGTCAAGTTTTTTCCTGGGTCTAACAGCTAGTAGTAAGTAAGTGCTAGACCCAGATCTGAACCCAAACTGTCTGCCTACTGCCCCCATTGCTTTCAAGACTTCATATGTGTAGGAGGGGACAGTCCATGGCAGTGTGGGGTAGTGGTGAAGGCTCTGTCATTGACTAGCTTCAGCAAATATTATTTCTTTCTTTTCAACATTTTTATTGGGACATAATTTACATACTATAAAATTTGCTAATTATAATTATGCCAATTATAACCTTATGATTGCAGTAAATCTACAGAGTGTTACAGTTATTACCACAACCAAGTTTAGGAATAGCCCTGAAGTTTTCTCATTCAGTACATCTTTTCATCTGAGTTGCAGTTTCCCTGTCTGCAAAATGAGAATAACAGTCCTTGTTATGAGCATAAAATGAACTTGCCACTGGGATCATCATCATCATCATCATCATCATCATCATCATCATTATTATTTTATTCTTACGGACTTTTAGAACTAACAGTGGTTTGAATAACTATCTAATCTCACCTTCTCCCTTAACAGATAAAGAATCTAGGTGCCAAGTTGTCCGGCAATTTGTCACTTAAGGATATGCAGTGAATTTGATGGCAGGGTTGAAATTAGAACCTGAATCTCTTAGTTGGTAGATTTGTGCTTTCTTGTGTCCAAAGAGACTTTTCACCCAAGTCACAGGGCTGTCACTGGCCACCCCACACCCACCTTTGTGGGTGCCTCCGTAGTGATGCTGACCAGAGGCATGGACCCCCGAGTTTGCTTTTGTTGGACTTCCCAGCACTGAGGTCTTGGAGCAGAGTTTGCAGCTGGGACAGACTTGGTTGCTGAATCAGGGACAGGACCTAATGTGGAGACCGAGGCAAGCATGAATGTTCATTGTGAGAGCAGGGGATGCATGGACTCCAAGAATCCAGGGCACAGCCAGTCTGACAGTCAGGAGACTCTGTGCAGCTCTGGGCATGGGTTTGTGACTGGAACAGTCACACAGTGCCCAGTGCTTAAAAGGGCCCCCTCCTTGGTTTAGTGCTTGCAATTTTGAAATTATTAATATTTTCAAGCAAATATTTCAGTACAGTTTTATTTTGCATAGAATCCTATAAACTGTAGAATCAGTTTTGCCCACAGGACAGAGAATAGAGCCCAAGCTAGATTTTTAGGGCCACAGTAAGGAATAATGTCTGTCTGTCCAGGACCTGTTCACATACAAACTCTAGACATATGGCACAGCCACACAGAGTGTTAATGCTGAGTGTTAGGAGAAATAAGAGCTAGACACTGGTGTGCACCACAGGCACTCAGGAGGCTGAGACAGAAGAATTGCTTGATCACTGAGGGGTTCCAGGTTACCCTGGGCAACACAGTGAGACCCCATCACAAAAAAAATTCAGAACCTATTTGCATATTGTGATCTAGTTCATGTCAAAAGATGCCCCATAAAATTGTGTGTGTGTGAAAAACTTTTTTTAAGGTCTACAAAGACACTGCAGACTGACAGCAATGGTTATTTCTGGGAGAGTCATCAAGGGAATTGCTAATTTTTTTCTGTGTGTTTGGGTTGTTTGTTTGTTTTTTCCAAGGAGAATGTATTCATAATATGTTACTTTCATGATTATAAATATGCTTTTAAGATATTCCTAAAATATATTCTGCAAACATTTTTATATCAATAAATATTCTTTTTTACTAGTACCATTTGCAATACATAATGTTTATATTCCTTGTGTGGAGGTGGTACATGTACATAACACATTTTAATTTCATTTTTCATCCCCTTTCCCTCCCCTCCCTCCATCTATTGATCCCCTTCTGTTATAGTTTGGATCTAGATGTCCCCCAAAGCCTCACATGTTCATAGGTGGCTTTTTCAGAGGTGGCCGAATCTAGTGTGTGTGGTGCTGGGATTAAGGGTGTGCGATTACTAAACCAGTACACTGATTGGTTTGGCACTGCCTTAATCCTACTAGTCTGGATAAGATAAAAAGGGCAGAAAGCCGCTGTTAATGTTCCTTTGTTGCTTTTGCTACTGTCTGGGTGCCATGAACTGTTTCTCTTCTCTGACGCCCCTCTGCCATGTGCCACTCTGCCTTGAATCCAGCTGTGAGCTAAACAAACCCTCTCCCCTTTAATTTTGGGTGTCAAGCATTCTGTCTCAGCAACGAGAGAAAAGTAACTAACACACCTTCCTGTATGAGCAAGATCATCTCCCTAATTCCTATTATTTGTCTTTTGTTTTGCTCTTTATTTATAATTTGGGTTTCTCATATAAGAGAAACTACGTGAAACTTAAGTTTGTGACTTAACTTTTTAAGTTAAGTCAAATGACTCAACTTTTTCTGTATGGCAGAGTAGTTTTTTATCTACTCATCTTCCAGTGGACATATAGCCTGCTTCCAGATTTAGCTATTATGAATTGTGCTGTTGTAAACATGAGTATGCATGGGTTACTGTAATATGATGTCTTTAACTTTTTCGGGAAGATACCTAGGAAAGAACTATCTTGGTCAAATGGAATTTCTAGTTTTAGTTTTTTGAGGAATCTCCATACTGATTTCCATAGTGGTTGTGCTATTTTACATCTCCATAAACAGTATAGAAGCCCCCTCCCCCACCCCTGCAGCCGGGCCAGCATATGCTATTATTTGATTTCTTGATGATGGCCATTCCTTAGAAATGCTCAATACCCCTGGCCATTAGAGAAATGCAAATTAAATATTCTTCTTCTTCTTCTTCTTCTTCTTCTTCTTCTTCTTCTTCTTCTTCTTCTTCTTCTTCTTCTTCTTCTTCTTCTTCTTCTTCTTCTTCTTCTTCTTCTTC